TGCGCAAGTTCATAGAATCATATAATCCTTTAAATTGGAAGAGACCTTTAAGATCATCAAGTCCAACCATCAAGCTGACACTACTAAGTCCTCTGGTAAAACAGATCAGAATCTGTCAGGGCTGGAAGGGACCACAAGGATCGCCCAGTTCCAACCCCTCTGCCATGAGCAGGGACACCTCCCACTAGATCAGGCTGCCCAGAGCCTCATCCAGCCTGGCCTTAAAGACCCCCAGGGATGGGGCCTCAACCACCACCCTTGGGCAACCCATTCCAGGGTCTCACCACTCTCATGGGGAAGAACTTCTTCCTCACATCCAGCCTGAATCTGCCCACTTCCAGCTTTGCCCCATTTCCCCTCGTCCTGTCATTACTCGATAGCCTAAGAAGTCCCTCCCCAGCTTTCTTGTAGGCCCCTCTAAGATACTGGAAGGCCACAATAAGGTCACCTCGGAGCCTTCTCTTCTCTAGATTGAACAGCCCCAACTCTCTCTACACTTCTAAATACGGTTCTAATACTTCTAATACACTTTTAAAATACATTTCAATTGAATTTATAATTCAAAAGACCAGAAGTTATGTTGTCATTCTTCGTCTGTCTACTCTTGTTTTTGCAACTCTTGTGTCTTAGGCATGCAGGTTATGATATCATGGTCAGTTTAGACTGATCTAAGACCATGTTGTCACTGAAAGGAGCTGTTACTTCAGTATCCTGTTTTCATCCCTTGTGCCAGCTGAAGTACTCCCATGGCTATACAGAGCAGGATCAGGAAACTGATGTAATTCAGAACTGAGAGAGGAAAAAAAAAAAATTTTCCTCAGTAGACTTAATGCATGGCAGCAAAAGCAGGTAAGTCAGCATGGTAGAGGGAACAGAAGGAGGATGAGGAGCAGGAGGAGGAGGATTACTCCTTTTAGTATCAGCATGGGGACTTACAGATTGGCTGAAAACAATGGAAGGATTTCAGTTGTAACTGGGAGGGAAGCTGAGTACCAAATTGTTCTGTGTCATTTTGTTTTCCAGTTTTAGTGCCAGTCAGTCTTTACGCATCAGTATAGTTACAAATCACATCAAATCTAGTTCTCCCAAGAATTGTTTCAAAGGGAAGGGAATCTAAGGATTGAGAAGGTTGTATTATGTAGATAGTATTTCTTAAGCATTTGTCTTTGTGTGTGGAGCCTAAATTAGTACAACAACTCTGAAGAGACTGATCTGTTTAAGCAAACAGATTAATGTGTTTTTATTGAACCTGAGTTTTACTGCCTTTCAAAGAAGTTGGGAAATTGTGTGTTAATTCTTAGGGATGATAGTCATTGAATACGTCATGATAGTTTTGACACTCCTTATTCCTCAGTTCAAGACTTAAGGAAGCATGCTGATTAATGTCATTTGTTCAGCAAATCTACAGTGTGGCAACCTTTCTGTTCAAACTTTTGGACCCTGTAAAGAATGTTATAAATACTGCTGTATATAAAAGATTTTTTGAGGGCTTTTTTGTAGAGTGGACTTTTGGGGTTTGTTTGGTTTTATTTTTATAACACTGTTCCTATAGTATATTGGTTCTCAAGATCACTTAGCTCATTAACCTGTCTGATTGAAAAATATGATATCTAGGCAATGCTTAGTAACTTAGCATTCCAGAAGTATTTCCAAAAGCAGGAAATAGTTTGGCTCCAAGCATTTAGGAGGCAGTTGCCTCCCTCTGTGTATGATCGCAGGTTATATTATTTTCCTTTCCATTCTGCTGCGGTTTGGGGTCAGGGCCACCCCCAGAACCATAACAGATGCTCTCTGTTAACCCCCTTCTCCCACCCCCCAAAAGGGAGAGAGAAAGGGAATAAGGGAGACAGACTTATTGATCAGAGAACAGCTTTATTACTGCCGTTAATAATAATAGCAATAATGATAATAAAAATGGAATATGTACAAATATATACACCATTAGTATCGAACCCTGCTTCTTCCCCGATGGCAATATGTCACCATCACCCCTGATGCTGGGGAGCAGCCCCCAGGGAGAGGGTCCCAGGCTGGACCCAGCCACAGATGGTGACTGGGTACAAGAGCTGGATTCTGGAACTCAGTTCAGGAACAGCCTGATCTAGTGGGAGGTGTCCGTGTTCATGGCAGAGGGGTTGGAACTGGATGATCCTTGTGGTCCCTTCCAGCCCTGACAGATTCTGATCTGTTTTAGCAGAGGACTTTAGAGCCCTATTGGCTCAATGGTTGCACTTGATGATCTTAATTGAAGGTCTCTTCCAACCTAAAGGATTCTATGATTCTGTAACACAGGACTTGGGATCAAAGGCAGGATGGATGGATGAAGTTCTCCTCGGATGTGGCCACTGCAGCAGGAGCAGCCAAAGCGAGGAAGAAGGCGGAAGAGAAATGGCAGGGCTTGCCTCTCCTGACCCTCCAGCTTTACTGGCTATGCCAGCTGTGGGATGGAACACCCCACTGGTGAATCTTGGGGTCACTTATCCTGCCCAATCCTCCCGCAGGTGCAGGGTACTCTTTGCCCCCCTCTATGTAGGATCCAAGCTTAGCAGTGGCCTTGGTCTGCACACCAGTCCCTGGCAGTAACTCTAAACATGGAGTGTTATCACCGTAGAAGCAGGGAGTTTGTGCTAACTTTGAACAAGGCAGTTAATTAGAATAGCTTTAGCTAAAAAGTTAAAATCATTGAACAAAACAGCTCTGTTGTACCCCAAGCCAGGACACATTAGCAACAAACTGAGGATGAAATAAGGCCCAACAGTTGCAGCTGGCAACTAGTTGTAAGAAAGTTTTATAACTAGATATGTAAGGGTGATGGCCAATGAAAGAAGACTAATAGAAGGGGAAAAGACCATCACTTACAAAGTACTTGAGCTTTGGGAAGAGTTAAGAACTGCATTTGAGTCAAAGGGCATAAGAGCTTGCATAACTTTCCTTAGATGATAATTATCAAAGTATTTAGTTGTGGTTTTATTTTGGTAAGAAGAGTCTCTGTGCATGTAATAAATTCCAAGTGTTTGAAGAATAATGTTGCATACATGTGCATGTAACATACTGCTTAAAAAAACCACTCTATTTTTATAACTGTTTCACGTGCACTTTTGTATTTATGTGAAAGGACACTGTTTAATTTTTGTTGTCTTATTCTTGACTAGTGAAAATTGAGATAACAAGTAGGGCTTGTGAAATTGTGCGGTCACTTGCTGAGATACTCGGGGTGCAAATTATGTATTGCCATGGTTTTCTCCAGAAGACTTAACTTTCTGTTTGAGTCAGTTTTGTAGTATTTTTTAGAATCTAAGTAACATAATTATGGTTGAGTATGGTTCTTGGGTTTGCTCATCATGGTGGATCTTGGTCTGTACCTTTTGTATTGAAATACCTGTGCAATCATTACAAAGCCTTTTATTTTTTTCTTCTGTATTAACAAGTAGTGTTTGGTGCATGACTCTCACCTAGTGGCATGGTTAGTTGAGAGTGCTTTCATTACAGCCTTTTAACTGAAATACTTGTAACTGCCTTGTTCTCACTAAAATTTAAAATTTATTAAATCACTAGTTAGCTAATGAGAGGCAAAAGAACCCATTTTAATTTGGTTTACCATTGAATAGAAGGCCAGAGTGGCTAAAATCAGGGCTGGTGTGTGAAGTTTTACATGGTGATATCATTTAGTCTTGAGAAAGGAGCAATGCAAGAATGCTATCTTCCTGGTTATACTGTTTTGGGCTCTAACTACTGAGAGTAATGAAAACGTACATCCATTCCCTTAAAAAAAATCTTCAAGGATAGGTTAGGTGCCGATTATAGCACCGGGGATTTTTTATTTTCCATCCTTTAATAATGTAATTGTTCTTGATCTTAAGCTCTGTAGAGCAACGTGATCTCATTTTACTCTCCCTATTCCTTACTTTCTTAATCCCTCTTGCAAGAAAATTTTGTATCGAATCTTGTCTTGAATTAGCTACCTAATGACTTCAGTCACGTTTAAAGTCATAAAGAGGGCAGATGAGTTTGTGGTTTCCTGTAATGATGGGCAATCCAGTAATATTGTTAATTGTCTGAATATTATATTCACATCTTCGAATTCCTGTCTTCCCTAGGATTTTGTCTTGCAAAAGACAAAATAGAAGCCTTTTCACTTTGTACTGAAGAGACTCCCTTTTCCTCAACAAGCATGCTACCTTTATTTTGAACTATTTTCACGTTTTCCACTAGACCGTTTGCACTAGTTGAGATGGCTTTTGTATGTTTTACTGACTTTGTGATCTACTAGCTTAGCAGGCAAGTAGGAAGCTTCATTGCTTCTTTGGAAGTTTGGTCAGTAATATGATTGATACTTTAAAACAAAACAAAACAAAACCAAACCCAAAAAAAACCACCTACTTCTCTCCATATAGAGTAGCACATTAAAATCAGTTCTTCCTTGTTATTCTAACCTTTAGCTGTCTTATGTGAATCTAGAAAGAATAAGTTGTTTCCTGTATGATGGATTTGTAAATTTTGCATTTGAATACATGTAGCGGTTTCTTAATCTCTTCAGTATACTGACATTAAAACCTCAATTGCTTAAAAGTATGCTGTGTATCTCTTTTAATATGGCTTCAGCTTTGGAAGAAAACGAGTAGCAAAATTTATTCTTACAATGCCATAAGGACAAAAAAGTGTGCATGTATTAAAATGTTTAATATGGTTGCTGTTTGTGCCTTCTGTTGGAGTTACTGTGCTAATTTTAATACCTTTATTTCAAGGCAAAACCCCCAACATTTATGAACAGAAATTAATACTTGGTCTCTGGGGCAGAAATATTTGTGTTATTAATGACTGATGGCACTGATTAATGCAAAGGAGTTTTGGGTTGATGGTGTTGTGTTTTTTGTTTGTGTTGGTGGTGGTGTGTTTTTTTTTCCTTCCCTTCCCCTTCCATGCCAGGTTTCATTGTTTTGTTTTGGGAAGAGGATGGGTTAAAATCCATTATCTCTTTTTTTGTGTGTTTTCAGGCTCGGATAGCGTTTTTACAAGGGGAAAGAAAGGGCCAAGAAAACTTGAAGAAAGATTTAGTGAGAAGAATAAAAATGTTAGAATATGCATTAAAACAAGAAAGGTAGGTATATTAATTGTTCAGCTTTTATCTGACTTGGAAGACTTTACAGACTAAAAGGAGTTCTATCACATTATGTAAAATATCTTTACTAAACGATTCTACATTACTTTCTGTAAACTGACGTTGTGGTTGGTCATCTTTACACTGTGTTTTCTGATAAATCTTAGTGTCTGCTATAATAAAAAGTTTCATCATTTTCAAATTGTTTGGAGTTGTCTTGAATGCAGAAAGTTCTAATCGGACAGTTTCCCTTTTGGGATATAGAGTAATGGTCTACTAAGTAAGAATAAACCTTCCAAAAACCTTTATACCTTATTGCTATACCTCTACTTTCTATTCAGTGGTCTTAAACTTTAAAGGATGAAAAATACTGTTCTCTTGATTCTCTGCATCTATTTTGTACGTGTTGTATGGTAAAAACTATATTTTGTGGCAGAATGGAATTTTTTACAAGAACTATATCTTGAAGTATTGTTTTTTCATGTGGCAGATGGTAGAATTTTTAGTCTCAATAGGTGTATTTTCTGTAGCATTAATTTAATGCTTTAAAAATCAAAATTCTGTTCAGTCCTTGCAGGCTAATGTCCTTCAGACCTGAATGCTCTTCTGTTGCCTTATTTAATTTGACCAAAATTGGTAGTTAATTTTTAGAAAATATTGGAAGATAATCTCATGTGCCTGTCCTTTCAGTAGTGGACTCAATTCCTATATTTCATTTTGTCTTGGTCTTAAGGCAGCTGAATCCAACAGTGTAAATATCTTGAAGATCAGGCAATAAAATAGGTAGCCTTTATTTGTTTATTTTGTTTTGAGGGGAACATTCCTCCCAGAGTAAACTTAAAATTTTGTAGCAAAGCGTACTGAGACCTCACCTGGGCATTAAGCTGGTTGTCCAAGAGTAAGTATGTCTAAACATATTTTTACATTATGAGTTAGTACTGTGAGTGACTAGCACAGAAATAACTTGGATTAGTTGGTTTTATATTAAAAACTAATATTCTGACAATTGCTGCATACCTCTGTGTGAAGTATCTAGTATAAAGGTGCTCAAAACACAGCATATGTTCATTCAGAAAGCTGTATTGGTACATCATGTATTCTCTGGTGATGTGATAGGCAGAAAGGATCTATTTCTTTGTGCAGCCCTGTCCTTGAAATGGAAAGTAACTCAAAGTTTCCAACCAGTGTAAGACTAAAAGTCACATTTGTTACAGCATACAGGTAATGTGCAAGTCTGGGTTCAAGGCAGATGAAAAGTGTGCAAAGTGTTGGAGGGAGTGTACTCTTCCTTTAAAGAACATTGAACATATCTAAGGAGTATTGTGTTATGGGAAACACAAGTCTCTTGGGTATAAGTAACTTTCAGAAGTTGAAATAAAAGATTTTATTTGTTTTGAAAATAATAAACCTTCTGTGTGCTGTCCTGAGAGATTTACTGCAAATGCACACCATAAGGCTGTGAGGATTGCCTGCTTCGTGTCAGTTAGTTACAGTTGGAGTGTAAAGACATTGAACAACAGAATGCAGAATTTGAAGATGAATGGTATTGTTTAAACCTCATTCGTGCTTTCTCCTGAAATGCAGCTGCCTTTATAGTTTGACTTCCCATGAAATTCCAGAATTCATCTGATGGGCGAGAAACTTGTAAACATGTGTACAAGAGAGGCACAAGAGCAGAACCAGACAGTTTGCTTTAGTCCTTGCGGCTAGTGGCTACAAGCCAACACTGCATGCTTTTCAAGAGGAAAATTGTTGCTAAAATCCCAGCCAGAATTCTCAAGAAGATGGCTAAAAACAGGAACTAGAACTCTGGGCTGGTTGCTTAATGTGTGGGAGGCAACAAGGAAGCTTTCTGTTATTCTTTGCTACTAACGCCCAGTAGTTCAAGGGGATCTAATTGCACAGGTGTGATGGATTGGGTAAGGAAAGCAAGCAGGTACTGACTTGTCACTAAGTCATCCAAGAATGATAATACATTAGTGTCTTGACTGTTGCACTGAATTAATAGTTCAGGATAACAGGTGTTATTTTACTGCTGTGTTTCCTCTGAGTTAAGAATCACAACTAATTAATAGAAACCAGCCTCAGAGCAAAATAAATTCTGAGAATTTGAGATCTGAAAATTTTAGATAGCAACTTTCAGTGTTGCACATGATTCCCCTTGCCCCCATTCTCCTCCTCTTCTTGCTCGCTTCCTGATGCTGTCATCAAGTTTCATGCAGTGAAATATCAGATTATATGGAGTCAGAAACAAACTAATTCACACAATGATGACTGTTGTGATTTCTCAGAAAAAGGGTATGAAGAAGTGTGTAAGGTTAAACAAAATGCAGGAGTAGTTAAAAAATAGTTTGATACTTCTAGTATGCACCTCTAAGTGTGTGTGTGTGTGTGCAACAGGTGTGATAATATTTTAGGGAAGGAAAATGTTGTTTATTATTGTGGTGTCCTTTAAATATTTTGGTAGTTCTTTATCAATTTTTGTAATAGTAGTCATATGTATGGAATTCTTTCTTTGTAGCTAGTGTATATTCTTTTATAGTACTTTGTACACACATCTGCACTTAAGTTCTGTACTCTGAGCCACTCTACTCCAAGCTTCATTAACATGGTGCTGTGCTTAAGCCTTGCTGAGGTTATAAAACTGTGGTTGTTTTGATATCATGGGTTTCAGACTGGAGCTGACTTATATCCTTGCAACAGAGTGGTAGGATTCAACAGTTAAATGGCAGCAAGCAGTTAAATCAGCCTAGGGCATTGTTTTTTCTCCTCTTACTTTTTCATTCATGGCAACCTAGCCTTAGAAGAATAGCAAGTCAATACTCAAAGGATTCAAAAGATGCCTCTTATAGAATTGAGTTACTGTGGATTATGGGAGACTGTCACTGACTTGCCAAAAGCCCTGTAGCTTGTTAGTGATTTTTAAGATATGTAATAATTACCCTTGTTAGTGTGACAATATGAAGAGGAATATGTGTGCAACTGGATGGTTTATTGGAATTTAATAGTGTGATTATTTTTTTTTTTTTTTTACTGTAAAATTGATGTTGAACATCAGCTGTGATGTGAAAGACATCTGTTTTCATTGCATGCAGCAATATTTTGGCTTATTTGTAGTGGCTAGTCATTGGTATAATTTTAGATAGATACATCATTATCTTGGCTAATGAACAATAAAAGCAGAATTTTAAATAATGATTTGAAATTGTAGCTCCAAAATTGAGTGGCTGCTCCTAAACATTATTTGCCACAGCTCTAAATTGAAAAATTTAGGTTGGCTTTTCAGTTACAGTGCTTTATTAGCTTCACTTAGTAATTGAGAAAAACATTTCATCAGCTTTATTTAACTTCACAATTTCTTAATTATTCTCAATTTATTTGGGTTTTTAAATCCCCAAATATACAGTACTTTATAGGGCATATAAATCACAATACGCACACTTTATCTGCAGAGCTTGTGGAAATCACTGCCCTGTTACAATATGGAACGAAGCTTTGTCTCAGTTTAAAGAGAGAACCTAGGGTAGACAGTCTTACTAGTGTATGGATGAAATACGAACATTCTCCCAAATTTTAGAAATCACAGTTTTGTTTAGTTGGCAATCAGTCAGATTCAGGGCACAGCAACACCTAGTCTTCAGGAACCCTGCAGTTTTTTAGATACAGTGTAATTACTATGAAGTGGAGGGGTTTTCTTACTCTGAAGGGTCAATAGTGCCATCTACCGACAGTTTGTTAAATTTGATTTAGGAACAGTATCATTACACAGAAACTCCAGTTTAGAAGAAAATCTTCTATACTATCAAATATATCAGACAGCGTTTGGGATGAATTTTGACCTTCGGCTGGAAAAACTTGAACAGCAGCCGTTTCAGAACATTGTTGGAAATCCTTAATTTTAGTCCAGCACGCATTGTACTATGTATCTTTTATAGGAGAATTTTAAGATTTGAGAGTAGCCTTTAAATTGGTAGGAGTTAGATAAGGTTCAGTTATTCTGAAAACTTTGGTCAAATAAGTTATGCAGACAACTGTATTTTACAGAGATGACTTTAAAATGTGGCTGCTAATATTTTTAGAGTTCTTTCACCTTGGTTGTACAACATTGAGAGTTCTTTTCCCTGAGTTTTTGAGTATTTTTGAGAAGGATCTATAATGTAAAAGTCAAGTTGTGAAAGGGCTGAGATAATGTTAGAGAATTCCAGGATATAGGGGTAGGTAGTTCATGTGATATTCCTGGGGGTAAAGGGATCTGAAGATGTTTTGATAAGCAGCTTGGTGAGAGGGTGAGGTGTGGAAGGCTCATACATTCCTGAATGGAAATAGTATCACCCAGACCAATTTATTTTTTAAAAAGTTACAGAGAAGGAGAGGTTTGGGCATCAGAGCTCAGGAGATAGCAAGGAGACATGTTTGTGTAGGTGAATGTAGCAGGAATTGGAAGCTAAGACTCTAGTCAATGAGTAGGAGAAAAATCAGTAGGAGAAGATATGGGATGAAGGGAAGCAAGCATGCTAATATGGGTTTTGAAAGGTTCTCTTAGTAACTGACACACATGAAGAAACCCACATTCTTGGAGAACATACTTAACTCTCATCTATGAGTTGTTTGACAATTGTGAATAATTGTAAAAAGGTTATTTCAAAACTATTTTCTTGAAAGAGTAAAAATAATTGTATGTTGCAATAGTTATCACAACAGTTTGATGTATTTTAAATGGGAGTAGTAGAATGTTTTGAGTTGGTAAAAGCATTGTAGGCTGGTTTGTTAAACATTTGCATACTTTTTTCAGGGCAAAATATCATAAATTAAAATATGGCACAGAATTAAACCAAGGTGACTTGAAAATGCCAACATTTGAATCAGGTAATTTTTTTTCAATATACTGTTTTTGTATAATTTGCTTATACACAGTTCTGTTCAATTCATTGCATCTTTCATTCTTCCCTTCCCTTAGGTGTCTTATAGAAAAGATGTCTAGGAAAGTTTTGGTGTTGGGTAAATATTGTTTAATATGATAATCAAAATTAATTGACCTGAAGTGACCTTTCCTTTTTTGAAAGAGATCTGAATGTCAAAGGAAGCTTTGAAGTTGCACAATTCCTGATTTAACTGCTGCTTCTCCTTTTTTCGTATAATACACCTTCTTGAAGGATTTGATATTTTTTGCCATTGTGACATACATTCAGAATGAATGTCTAAGTGCAGAATAAACTGAAGAAATAATGCTGGTTTTGGTGCTTTTATAGGATGCTAGTTTTTAAAGAACGAGGGAAAAAAATGGTGTGGCATTGGCCTGGAAAATGTTGAGCTTCTTTTCTCTTAAATTGAGGAAAGAAGCCCCAAGAGAAAATATATATTATCTATTGGTTCTCTGGAGTGCATCTGGTTTTGGAATGTAGATGTGAAGTTAATCATAACAGTTTTGTTCTTCACAATATTGCAGGCAGAGGTAAACATTTTTTATAATGACACTGGTCTGTTTAATACAGAATTGCATGTGGCTTCCCTTGAAGTGTAAGTCTTTGGGAAGGTGCTCTGTTGGCCTGTATTTGTGTAATGTGCTTTAAGATTGTGGTCTGCAGATTTCTATACCCCTCCTTGTTTGTTCATTTTATTCTGCTTTGGCAGTGCCGCATTTGGGTACTTTTATACCTGGTTGAAACAGAGATCGTGATTCGTATTTCATGCTTGGTGGGATTTTTCATGTATGTTTAAAAGCAGTATAAGTTAGAAGTTAAAATCCATAAGCTATTACTTTGTACCATGTTTTACAGTCTCTGCCATAGTAAAAGTGCAGTGGGTCTAGCTTTTAATTTTTGATATAAACTGGCTTTTAATTTTTGATATAAACTGACAGAATTTGTGTTAAACTTTGTTTTCTACAAATGCTGATATATGTTGCTTCATCTCTTATTTTAACTAAATTTTCCATGTTGCTTTCTAAGTATATCTGCTTTGTGAAAGCATGTTTTCTTCGCAGTAACATTTCAGCTGATCAGGGCAAGGTTTTCTTCTGTGTACAAATTAAATATTTTTCTAGTTCCTTTTCTGCATGTAAGGGATCAGGATTTTTTTAACTGTTTTTTTTCTCTTAAATTATTTGCTTGATACTTCAGCGAAGAATTGGAAAAAAAAGTTTTTAATAAGAAGCACTGCATAAGACTGCATCTAATGTAAAACACTTTTTAAAGATATCATTTTAGTTTCATTGGTGTCCTGTAAAAAGTAAACCCAAACAAACCACTAAACAAAAAACCTCACTCAACTATGACACTGTCTTTCAGAAGAAACCAAAGATATGGAGGTTCCTGCAGTACCTCAAAATAGCCAACTGACCTGGAAGCAAGGCAGACAGTTACTGAGACAGTAAGTAACATTGTTGAATGTTGGTGTACTTAAACTCTTCCCTAAAGTATGAGGAGATGCTATATCCTTGCTCTGTGAAACAGAATAATTGAGGTGAATAAGTAGTGGTTCATTCTTAAGGACTTCATAGTCTTGAGTTTTGAGCAGTATAGAGTAAGTTTTTCCATATGAGATGGATAATTATGAAGCTTATTTTTCCTTCAATGATACAATAGTAGGATTTATTTCCAACAGTCAATACTATTTTCTTTCCTTTTCCCTCAAATGTGCTTTCCTCTTTCTTCTCTGGACGCTTCCAGGTACCTTCAGGAAGTGGGTTATACAGACACGATACTGGATGTGCGCTCCCAGCGAGTACGGTCTTTGCTGGGGCTCTCCAATTCAGAACCAAATGGTTCAGTAGAGACAAAGAACTTAGAGCAGATCCTCAATGGGGGTGAATCTCCTTCATCAAAACAAAAGGGACAGGAAATCAAAAGGTAGGTAAAGAGATAAGACCTGCATAAAGTTTAAGTATGTTTTAGTTAGTACATTGATATGTACTGATCATTTCACATTGACCTTTCAACTCTAGAGTCTCTGAACATCTGTTAAGTGTAGCTGACTGCAAATTATTATTAACTGAAATTGATTACACATAGGAACATATGTTATCTATATTACATATGTGTGTTATATGTATATTATGTACAGGAAAACGTAGTGTACTGAAGTTATCATATAACCACTCTGGAGTTGTGCTTTAAGGAAAGATTCTGTTAAGTGGTCCTTTTGTAAGGAATTAGGCAGTTGCAGAAACTCATTTGAACAACCATTTGTTGTTGTTTTGCTGATTTTAAAGATTTGTTAGGTAGCAATTGGATTTACTCTGGTTAATCTTCTAAAATATCTTCAAGTAAAACATTCTCTGTTAATATTTTTGTGTAGGAATTCTGGTGATGTTCTTGAAACATTTAACTTCTTGGAAAATGCAGATGATAGTGATGAAGAGGAGGAGAATGACATGATAGAAGATATTGCAGAAGGAAAAGAAAAGCACCGGATAAATAAGAAACACAAAGTAAAATATTTTTAGGTTCTTTATATATATGAAATCCCCTTTAAAAAGGGAAATATTTTCATCCTAGTGAATAATAAATGTGCAATGTTACATTGTTTGTCGCTGTGCCTTTATCGGAACGGGTTGTAAGCAGGTGTGTTATTGGTAAATGTGTTGGTTCAGTTAGTACGTTACCTTGGAAACTGAAAGCCAGCCAGCCCATTTGCAGATGTGAACCAGCTGCTGAAAGACGTAACAGATTTGGCCATCTCAGCTTCTCTGCGTACTTTGAGTTCCCTTAGGAGGCAAATTTAGCACAACACGATGTGTGTCCTTTCTGAATTTTGCAGAAGGTAGGGACAATTCCTTAGAAGAAACTAAATTATATAATGGGGAAAAAAACATCAGTTCCATGTCAAATACGTGTTTTACTCTTCCTTGTGTGCATCTTTTTTCTAAATATGTTAGCCTAGCAGAGGCTCATCTCCAGTAATCTGTTTAAGGTTCAATTAAGTTCGGTTTTATTTTTGTCTTTAGTTTTCTATTCAGTGAGTAGCTTTCTAGGTAGGATAAACTGTATTACCTGTTGCTTTGGAGTTCTTTTATTCAGGTAGTCTCCCTGCCAGCGGGGATCCTTTATGTAAAGAGGTTGATTTATGAACATTATACTGACAGTTTTATTGCTTTTTGCTCAGTAGAGTGTTATGTAGCATGATGAGTCCTCTGGCTGCATTGGATTTTGTTAGGTAGGTAGCAGCATTAGCTCAACTTGACACGAGTCTTAATTTCCCAGTTTGACTTGTCAGGAGACATTTTCCACCCTACCTTTGGTATTAACTTGTACTTCTGGTGAATAGATTAATCAAGTGATTGGTTTAATTTTTTTTTTTTTTTTTTTGTTCTGGGGCAGTAGGTAGTCTGATAAAAAGATTAGGTAAATCTAAGCACATATGAAGACAGTACACTCATTTTTTGACTCTTGACAAAGCTTGGTTTTTACAGAAAGCACTATAAATATTTCTCCTCAATCTTCGTAAAAAGTGTCTGTTTCTGTAAAAGTGTAAGAATATTGTTAAAGTCATTGAAACCAAACCCCGTGTGGAAATTTTCATCATCTGCAGAATCAAAGAAAACTTTTTAACCGTAGTAACCTAACTTTTTTTTTTTTTTAACCTAACTTTTAGTCTTGGTAGTGAAGCTTACGTTCTGTTTAAGGTGAAGGTATGGTAGAACTAGTAAAAAGACATTTTTGTGAAAACACCTTATTTTCCAAGCTTTTGTTTAACACTGTAATGTAACTAGAAAGCAAAAAGGAACACAGGCTTCTAGACCAGTAGAAAACACAGTTTGTAAAGCTTTTCTAAAGAAAAGCTTTACAAAATTGTAAGAATATCAACAAAGTTTGCCAGTTGATTTCTTTTAAATAAAAAATAAAGACTGGAATGTTTGGGATTGTTATTGTTCCTAACCTACAGCCGGTATTCTTTTGATTTCTTAATGATCACTAGACTGTACTACTCTGTTTTTCCTTTTCTAATGAACAGCTTAGATCTAAGTGTCTTTTTCTGCATTTCCTGTTGAATGATGTTTTCCCTTGCAACTGGCTAGTATTCAGAGTAATCTATATCCCTTCTAATGTAAACATTCAAGTGTAAAACCATGATTCAAATGCAGAAAAAATGTTTGTCTGCTTGCAGATTGGTAATGAAGGTTTAGCTGCTGACCTTACAGATGACCCTGATACTGAAGAAGCTTTGAAAGAATTTGATTTTTTAGTGACAGCTGAAGATGGTGAGGGTGCTGGAGAAGCTCGAAGTTCAGGAGATGGAACAGAATGGGGTACGTTGCTAAGAAAAACATTAAGAAATAAAGGAATATTGTTCATGATAGTACATAAGTGTTGCTGTAACTACTAAGATGATGTGTATGTGTGGATGATTGTGGTGATTGAATGCTGACACTTAGATAATACTCTCTAGGAAGCTGAAACTTTCACATATATGCTGTTGTAGTTGCCACAAATAAAATAGTCACATTAGTTTTAGGTTTAGAGTAATGTGTTCTTTTTTGAGTAAGAAAGGCTAGGATTTTGAAGTGTATTTATACTTACGTTAAGTTTGCTTTCAAATCTGGATTTCCCCTCCCCCCCATTTGTTTTTGATCAGGAGCTTGAAACTTTTTGTGCTCAAGGTAAATGAATTTATTTGGTGTACTTGTAAAAACGGGCAATTATTTTTTTTCAGGCTTTGATTTTTAGAAGGTATTGAGATTTTAGAAGGCTTGTATTAGCAGAATTTAAAAAAAGTGTTGCTTTGGCTGAACAAAATTAAATAGGTTACTGATTTGATGTGAAACATAAATAGGCTGAATCTTCTGACGTAAGCTCCTGGAGCCTACATTTTTCAAAAGAAGAAACTGGAAGAGGGAGAGATTTTGGGTAGGGGAAAGAGTAACGAACTGAGTAATTCACATCTGCCTTGAAATCAGAAATGGACTTAGTTCCTGAACTGTGGTAAAAGTGATTTTGTGGTTGCATACTCTGTCTTTCACTGTAGTGCCAAAAAGTGCCCCTAGATCATCTTGTCTGACCATTCTGTGATATAGAGACAATGAATTTGTCATATTTAACACCTCAGTGAGTAAAGACAATATAAACATGTACAGAAATCAAAATACTGGCACATCTTCCAGTCTTGATTTTGAAGGTGCCAAGGATTAGAAAACATTCCTTCCTGGAAATTAGTATCAAATAGTCAGTGACCTTTGTTTTTAAACTCAAATCTTATTCCTAATTGAAAATGAGAAGCTGGACAAAAACTCTGTTAACTTTGGTCTCGGTATGAGATGTTTTGTAGGCCCTAAAGCCAAAGTTTTGACTTGCAGTGTGCAACATGCCTTCAAATGTAGAGCGATGCAGAAAGTTCTCATTCTGGCATCAGTATTACCACTATTGTATAGAGAAGGAAAGGCAGCCTGATGTGATATTGTAATTCATGTGAAGATTTATCTATTTGTTCAGGGCAAACTGCTGAAACTTAGTGATTTAGCTTGTCCATTAAAATTCCAAGTCATTGCTTTCTAAGGTTACTTTCCAGTGTGTTATATCTCTGTCTTCTCAGGTAGTTTCCCAGAATGAGGGGATTCTGATATTTGCAGTGCTGACTTTGCAATTTACTTCTTTTCAAGCTTGTTTACGTGCAGGTCAGTTACTGTCCCAAACTTAAAATAACATTTGAAAATCTACTTTTAAAATCAAGTTGACCCACTGCACTTTTCAAGAGAGCATTTTGAATGTCTTTTATTACAGTTTAAGTGAACCCATAGGAGAAGTGAGGCAGAACATTTTAGGAGTTGTTACATGCTTGTGACAGCTCTTTTTGTTACAACTGGATTAACTGCACTAATTCCATTGTTGCCAAAACAGTCATGTCTGAGGCAGGTAGGGAGGAGGACCTAAACAAAAACCTATTCATCATAAAAAGGTATATGGTCTAAGTTTTGCTACATGCCAACAGTAAGTTTGTTGGATATTTTGTACTAACTTACTATTTAAATGAGTCAGAAGACAAAGTTTCAACTGTAGCAGCAATGCTTTTTTCATAGTATGTGACCAATTTCAGTACAGCTATTCTTAAGTGAAGCTGTTTAAGTGTACAATCTATCAGGTCTTGGGGTTAAGTGTCACTTTTTTAAAGACAATGCTTCTTTATTACCTACCAAAAATAACATTTCAAATATTGTCCCACTTAAATTCCTTCTAAAATAATACATGGCCTAAACCAATTTATTTTAGCTTGTCACACTGTTTTGAACTCTGAAACTGTTATTACTTAAAATCTTCAGGTCCACCCATTTATTTATTTTTGAGGAAGAACTTCATTGAAATGAATACTTGCTATTACTTTCTAAACAATTGCATCAACTTCAGGATTTCAGTTACAATTCATGGTTTTATTCTTAAAGTAAATAGGTGCTCTGTTCTGTTTTCTTCTTGGCTTTTTTTCGTCCTGTTTTGGTTTTCCTGTCAGTGGCATCCTTCTACCAGTTCCTACTCTTGCAAAGATTCAGGCTTTCTGAATAAAATTAAATATTCACATCTGTGTTTCTTTATATGTTTTTATTTAGTGTCTGGAAAGCAAACTTCTGATATTTAGGCTTTAAACGTATAGACTAGTCTTGCTTTTAATGCTTTAAATACTTATTCATCAGAGTATTATCTGTAGGTCTAACTTCAGGTATGCCAGAAGATTTCATTGTCAAATTTGATAGTTAACGTTTTTGCTGTTGGAGACTACTGCAAACCAGCTACCGAGTGTGGAAGTTCAGGTTGCTTTTTTCCCCTTCCCATAATACCTCTTTTTTATGAATGCATTCTTTTTAAGTGTCTCATTTAATATACTTTGAATCTTAAATTATTTTCAAACATTGTGATTTGAAGTCTTCTGTCATGGGACACGCTTCACTTAGGAACAGCTTATCTTCACAATAGTGAAAGATGATGAAATTCAGATAGTGTTAAAGAACTGAAGTATGCAGCACATTAAGAAATGAATGTACTTTTTTCAATTAAAAAATGTATAAATGCCTTGTGGTGATACAATATCATCAAGAAAAAGATGCATATAGAACTTCTGTTTGCTTAAGCAAAAAAAAAAATACATAATGTTACATATTACATCTTTTTAACTCTGCTTTGATGACTAACTATGCGTTCATTACTGAATTTCTCCTCTCCATGAGGCACAGAAGTTCTATTTACAGATGGACCATGAGTCAGAAGGACCCAGTGTGCTCTGATTTCTGGGTAGCAGACTGTGACTGGAATTCATTGTCTCTTGGGTCATTTTTTTAAATAAAAAAAATATAATTAAACAGAATTTATTATTTTTTAAATCTGGTTTCTCCACTAAATGGTGTTGTCTACTGGACACTACGGGTGCTCTGTGCTGTCCTGATGTCAGTAGTGTATGTTGTAAACGCTGCAGGCAATTTGAGGAAGTTCACTACCAGGAGGAGTTCTGGAGGTCTGCTGGTTACATGGCTCTGCTCTGAAACAGCTAAAGATAGCTAGGCATACCTGAGAGAAACAGTGCTGGGTTTTCCTAAAGATCTGCATTGAAATTCATTTCACAGCCTCTCTGGTTAATGGGCGTTAATGTTTTATCTATTTTGTTTATCTGCGGCCTACGTTTCAGCAGCTGATAGCATTGTTTTTGAGTATTTATGTTTGCAGGATTATGCCTTTCCTGGTTTATTTACATTGACTGAATGAGCCCAGTTCCTTCAAATTCTTTGTCTTGATATTTAGTGCCCTGTTTGTTTTACAGTCTACAGACATGTTCTAAGCCTCTAGTGTAGAACACGAACTGAACATGTTACTACTTTGTCATCACTGTGATCACTGAATTATGTGGACTACTTCTGGTTTAATGCATCACCTTTTAAGACATCCCAGAATCACAGTTTTGTTGTGGCTTTTTTTTTATTACAGCATTACGTTGCTGTTATGTGTGTTTATGGTTCAGCCTAGTTGCAAAGAAAAACTTGTGAATGCTGCAACCTAGCTGATTAATTTCCTTTCATTAATGGTGCTTTGGATATTTTTTAAAATTTATTCTTAACTGAATTTTGTTTCATTGGACTTAAGGGGTTTGGGGTTTTTGTGTGGTTTTTTTGTTGTTGGTTTTTTTTTTTTCCCCTCCCCTCAATTTCCTTCCTCTTTTGATTGGACATATCCTCTGACTTACCTTCCTGTGCCTCTTGTATTTCCTGACTAATCACTATTTTTGTCTGTGTATATTTTGACCCTGCAGTCCTAAAGATGGAGGTCTTTATGTTTGTAGTTTAGTAGTTGCAGCTGCAGTTTTTGGTGCAGGATGTCATTATTCATTCCACTCTCCACGGTTCTTTGTGGACGGCTTGGAGGACTTTACTGTTATTTCAGGCCTTCATTGCTGTTGCCAGTTCCATATTACACATCTGATCAAGATTGTTCCTTGTAATTGATTCGCCCTGTTTGAATCATAGTAGATGCATCAGTGCCCTGGGATATTTTTTCATGTCATGTTTTGTCATGAAATGGGCACTGGGAATAACTCCTACTGGTTTGCATCCTAAATTCATGTTTCTTTATTGCTGCTGTGTATGAGTTCTCTTGTGTGATTTTAGAACTAAAATAGTTAAAACTTCAAAAATTGCTGGTTTATGCAAACAGTGAGTATGTAGGTATGTTTGAAAGTTGGGAACTGAGGTAACTTGGTTTTATTATTTTATGCCTAAAGAATCTGTAAGCATAAGCTTAACTGGCACAAAACTCAAGTTTGTCTACTAGCAAAATTTGGGTGCAAATTGGAGCATAGGAGGTTCAAGGTGAATATCAGGAAAATTTTTTTTTACTGTGAGGGTGACGGAGCACTGGAACAGGCTGCCCAGAGAGGCTGTGGAGTCTCCTTCACTGGAGTCATTCAAAACCCGCCTGGACGCCTTCCTGTGTGGTGTACTCTAGGTGGTCCTGCTCTGGCAGGGGGGTTGGACTAGATGATCTTTCGAGGTCCCTTCCAACCCCTGTGATTCTATGATTCTATGAAAAGTGTTCCTGCAAATGATACACTTGCATTTTCTTAGAAACAAGTTTATCTGCTTATTAGTTCTATGTTTCCAGAAATGTTTGAGATAGTTTAGAAAAGTGAGGATTTGACTCTTGGAGGATTAACTCTAAAAAATATTTGTCAAACAGAAGACGACATGTCTTCTGAAACTATTGTTGAATGTTGTATTTCTGCTAGTTATAATTTAATTGCTGGAATGCAGTGGGATGGCAGTTTATTCACCTGTGAAGTTATTTCATCTTTATATAAAAGGCTGTATTTATAGACTTTTTTCCTCCGGTTGTATGTAGGACCAAAAATTTCTCTCTTGTGCATGCAGAATGAGTGTGAGAGGATGCATGGTGGTCTTCATGAATCAACTGGCACTGACTCAGCTTGCATTTTCATGACAGATAGAGCATGAATACTTTTATTTGCTTATTCAACACTGGCTGAATAATTTCTTAACACTGTCTTTCTAAAGATGCAGTAATCGTTTCTGAACACCAATGAATTTTTGTGTATTTTGAAGTACCTAACATAAACAGTTACTTACGAAGCTTAATTTGTTTGCTCCTTAGTAACAAATTAACATACAATTTTTAAATATGTAACTGATACTATATATTGCCTTGGAAAACTGTATGAAATAAGACTTAGTATTTTGTAAACTTAAAACTGAGACTGCACCTTTAAAGTAAAGATTTATTAAGAACCTTTATTAATGCTCTTATACAGCTATGATAGTTATTCACCAATAGCTTGCATTGCCAATTGCTGATTTTTTTTCTTTTAATAATATGCTGCATGTAGACAAAGATGACCTGTCCCCAACTGCTGAGGTTTGGGATGTAGACCAGGGACTAATAAGTAAACTGAAGGAACAGTACAAGAAGGAACGAAAGGGGAAGAAAGGGGTAAAGAGTAAGTGCAGATTATAAATCTTGTAACGCAACACTTTTTTGCTTATCTATATAGAAGACATTTTTTCTCACAAGTTCTGTTAGTTTTGCTCATTTTTTTGTCATTAAACATAATTTTCTGTAATGGGGGCAACCAACTTTAACTTTCTACCTGCTGAATGTAAATATGTCAAAATCTTTGACAGCCATTTCCTACTTGAGAAATATTGAAAACACAAAACTTTGAAGATAAATAGGTAAAGAGAGTTAAATGCTTTGAAATGCAAGTGTAAAAATGTTGAGCAACTTGCATTGTGAGGCTGTTCTTCTTTTGAGAAGTTTTCTGAAAGATTTAAGCTGTATCTGCTTCTTAACATATAACACTGTGGTACAGGGGGGTTGTTAGTTTTCTTTTTTTAATATGACCTTGACTCAAGCTATCATTGCTATTTATGGGCTTGCAGTTATTTTTACAGTCTAAGCCAATGAGAATTTTGAAATGCCTGTAGTTTAAATACAGGGTTTTTTTCCCTTTCTTTAGGATATATTCTTTATTTTATGGTGCTCTTTACTTTTCTGAGCAGTTTACACATTTTCATTGACACTTCTTTACTCTTTCAGATCAGTTCACCTATTTGAACTGTGTAAGCTTAATCAAATTTCAATATTGAAGAACCTGGTAAAAATGCTTTTGTAGCTTATGTTATCAACTATATGAAGCTCTTACTGGACAGAGTGTTATTAAATCACTTTAGAGAAGCTTTTACAGTGTTTTTATTTTGAAACACTAGAATAGATTCTAGCAAAAATTGGTGAAAGATAATTTTTTTCCTCAATTTGAAAAATTGTATTAATATAAATAAAGTGATAATTTAAAAGTAATAATTAAGAATTATTTATGGTTAAGATTTGCATTTACTTTAACATCTAACAAATGAAAATTCAGTTAGTGCATGTTCTGTTTTCAGCAGTTTTGCATGATTTGCATGTACACACACATACAAATATAAAAGCTTTGAAGTAAAGAGTTTTATTTGGTTTGATTAGTACTTGCAGTAGTAACTGGATGCTAATGGGTATCCTCATTTCATGTCTAAGTCAACATTTGACACCAAACTCCCATTAAGTATTTTGTAAGGTTAGAAACTTCTATTTGAAATTTTCTTATTAAACTTCACATTTTAGAGTTTTAGAAGCACAGTGCCTGTAAAATAACAGCAAATGCTTTGAATACTGTGGATGAAAAAAAAAGTAATTGTTTAGGGGATTTTTATATTTCTCTCAAAGAGTGCTTTTATACTATCACATCCAGGAAGTTCTTGAAACCATACTTTTGGCTTGATTCTAATCTTTTCACATCCAGGTATTTTCTACTTTCTTGCCTATGGTAAGTAAGCAGCTGTAAAATAGGGACAACTAGTGTTCTAGGATTATACGTTGTTTTAAAAATTTCTAAGACCTCCACATTTGTTTTAGTGGCATTATTTGATGGAGCGTATCCAAAGAAGGGCGGCAAGGCTGGTGAAGGGTCTAGAGAACAAGTCTTACAAGGAGCAGGTGAGGGAACTGGAGTTGTTTAGCCTGGAGAAAAAAGGAGGCTCAGAGGTTACCTTATCACCCGTTACAATTACCTGAGTTTGTATGTAGCGTGGTGGGAGTTGATCTCTTCCACCAAGGAACAAGAGATAGGACAAGAGGAAATAGGCTCAAGTTGTGCCAGGGGAGGTTTAGATTGGACATTAGGAAAAAAATTTGTCACTGAAAGGGTTGTCAAGCACTGGCACAGCCTGCCAAGGGAAGTGGTTGAGTCCCATCTCTGGAGGGATTTAAAAGATGTGTAGATGTGGCACTTACAGGCATGGTTTAGTGGTGACCTTGCAGTACCCTGAGCTCGTATAGGTAGCCTCACAGGTGGTTTGTGGGATTCTGCACTTGCATCAGGTAGTAGTCTCTAATTAAGAATTGGTCTCTAAATCACTGGCTAAATGAATAACTCAATTACAAAGTGGAAGTGTGCATTTAAATTTGGGCAGGTTTATTAAATTCTCTACTTGATTCATAGACTTTTCCTCAGCTACTTTAACTTTATGGGACTGAAAGTAATGCTCAAGACCTTCTTTATTCCTGCTTCTCATGTCTAATCATTCGTGAACTTCATTCTGATTATTTGTCTCTTACTTAGTTCTTCAGTGTATTGACAGATTTTTACCAGAATTTATTCTGAGCAATGTCAGAATTTGTGTGCATTGCAGTAGATACATCATCAGAAAGATCACATAAGAGCTTTGACTATCGCCTCTTGCGACGCTTTGAGGATAGCAGAACAGGGCAGACCTCCTAACAGTCCTTTTGTTGGTAACTATCATAATCTGCCTTCAGACTCTTGCCTCCATAACAAGGTCCTCGCATCCCTGGTCCACGTGTGGTGACACTCGTTCTAAATATAGGGATAAATAATTAAATACTTGATTCTATTTTGATCCTTCTGTAGTATGAATTCATGTGATTTCTTTTGGGTGGAACACCTTAATTTAGGTCATCTTCTGTTAGCACATAAATTTTCATAATGTAATACTTACTGATCTGGGGTTTGGTTGTGTTTTTTTTTTTTCCCCTGTTATGATAGTCACCATGTTGTATGGAAATGCTACTTCCTTATGAAAGGGTCTTTAAGAGGAGAAAAAAAAAAGCCACAAACCAAAACCAACCCAACTTTCCAACTTTAATATCAGCTGTAAAATAATGCAAAACCTCTTTAGTGAAGAGTTTTTATATTAAAAACAAAAAAAAAAGGCAAGGAAAAAAACCCACCCCAAGCAGGGGCGGGAAAAAAATAAGGAAAAAAAAAAAAAAGGCACAAACCGACCAAGTTATTTTTGATTGCATTTGACTTCATCATGATACATAGATAAGGAGTTAGGTTTTATTTTTACCAAACTAGGCTTACCTTTTACACTAATATGCTGAACTTAAGGCTAGCTGTTTGCCTGAATTTGGTGAGCTCAATTTTGGCAAATAAATCAGGGTGTGACTGGGTTTTTTGTTTACAGTCTGGCACATTTTCAGAACATAACAGTGGAGATGATGCCTATCTCATTTCACACTATCAGATCAGTGTGATGTGTTCTCAGCAACTTGAAAAATAGTTCTCACATCTTAAATTGTATTTGTACATTACTGTTAAAAGTAAGATCCTTTTACTGAGTTTCCTTAGTTTCCCTGAAACATTTATCCTTTTTTTGCTTTCCTGCTCTTTTCCCTCCGTCCAATTGTTCTGTATTTAAGAAACAGTATCCTTCCCTTCACTTTGCTCACCTTGATTTCTGGAAATAGTGTAGTAGTTGATAGGCATAAAAACACATTTGGATTTTACTATCTCTGTTACCATCACCTGTTGATATGGAAGGATCCCTGTGTTATATTCAGACTTGAGCTATTACATCTTACAGCTGATAGAAATCTGCTTATGGCTTCTCAGACTGCACCTTTTCAGCACCAAATATTCAACTACCTTTTCACTTCTGATTTCTGAAGGAGGATACAGTGAGATTTGTAGGTGGTTTGCTTATGTTCATAACAGGTTCATGTTTACTGATTTATTTTTTTGTTCTGATCTTTTCTCGAGGATGAAGCACAGTCATCCATCCAGTTTGTGTCTTGAACATAGCTGGTTATACAGAGAGAACACATTCCTATACTTAAAAATCTCTTTGTAACATTTTATATACTTCAGCAGTTATTGAAGGTGCTCTTACTTCAAAGCAGAAATCTGCATTCTTCTGTGGTGGTGGCAACTTGTTGGCAACAGCAGCTGCTGCTCTTTTGTATACTTTAGAAAGAAGTTTCTCTCTTTATTGTATGATGGATTGAGGACTGTTTTCAGATTATGCCTGAAGGAAAGAAGTGACTAAACGTCCTGAAAACCATTAAAGGCAAAGCTGATAGCCCCCTAATCAGTGGCATAGGGTTTTTTTTATTTTAAATGTTCTACAATATAACTGCCTGCAGTCCCAGCATGGAATCTTTTAGATTAAAATCTAGTTAATCTTGCATCACTGTGGGTTTTTTTTCTTCAAAGGTATTCTGTCACTGAAGTTTCACTTTGTGATTGAAGCTTGACTTTTTGACATGCAAGCTGTAAGGTGGAAGTGGGAAATTAAAAATAAAAAATAAATTTGTAACATACCATCCTTGTTTGCTATTGTCTAGACTGCATTTAAGGCACATATAATTCAGTATGCTTTGTTTTTAGAGAAGTGCTTGTGTAACAAGTGCAGTGTACATCTGCAATTTCATACAGTGGTGGAAGCATTCTTGCTCTTGTGTTTAATGAACACTTTAAAATTTAAATACCATTCAAAAGCAGGGAAAGTTAATTGTTCGTTGCACCCCCATTATGAGTTGTTTGTACATTTTTTCCCTCATTTTTAAGCTTATTTTTTATCTGCACTCTCTTTTTCAGTGTTAAATTGTTTAGTTAAAGTTGTGTAATATTACTAGCAAATGTTTAATTCATATGTATTGTAACAGTTAATATTCTTTTAGTATTTGGCTTGACTTCTCATCAGGGCAATAAGATGATTTCATTTCTCCTACAGGAAATTCTAGAATAGATCTACGGAACACAAAGGAGTTATTCTTTGATTTCGTGAACTAAAACTGAAACTGTTTACATGTAGTTGTCAGATTTGATGTATTAACTCCTTTCTCATTTCCAAAAGATCAATTTTTTTTTTTAATATTCAAAGACAAAAGGAAAGCATTGTATTTATTTTGAAGGAGGTCCCATCAGTAATTATTCTTGTTTAATTAGTGTAACGGATTTTTAGACTTCAGTCAAGTCAAGCGGTAGCAATCCAATGAATCTTTGCTGCTGACGTTAATTTACAGGAGTCAACAGGACAAAACTTCACGACATGATAGCTGATCTGGGCGATGATGAGATACCCCACATCCCTTCAGGAATCATTAATCAATCTAGGTCACCCTCTTCTAGAATGACTGATCATGAAGGTGCAAGAGCAGAGGAAGGTACAAAAAATTCAGCTACTTATTATTTTCAGGAGATTTCTTTTCAGGAGAAAGCACACACTGTAATTTAATGTCCCCTCTATAAAGCTTAATGCAATTGCAGGTTGCCACATGATTATTTGCTTTGTAAGTCTTCCCAAATGGTTTTACGAGAATATGACTTGAATTTCTGTAGCTTATTGTAACTCACCATTATTTCAAAAGTAGCTGTAAACAACTTGATGTACAGCAGTGTGTTCTGAAACTGTTCACTGTTAAAATCCTGTTTGCAGACCACCCCCATTAGCAAAACCTTTTACAAATAGAGTCTTCTTGATTGAGGGGGGATGGAAGAAGGTGAGTATTAACGTTTGATGCACAGTTTGCATTTTAAAGTGAAATTTAAAATTGATTGAGTTATGAGACAAATTAGTCTCTTTTCCTCAAGTTTAATGTTCTCTTTTTAAAAATTCTCTGTCTATATACACAAGACTAGAAAAACACTGTTTATTTCTTTACAAAGTATTGGTTTCAATTTCAGGATTATCTTAGGCAATAGAAGTTAGTTGGAAACTATTACATAAATAGTCCAAAGTCACGTTTTCAGTTTTGTTCGGGTTTTTTTTTGTTTTAAAAGGAATGATTTTCCTTATATTAACTCTAAGATAAGAATGCCATTATGTAAATCCTGTTCTCTGCTCAGAACAAATTCATTCAGAATACTCAGCTGAATTCAGATTTGTCTCCTTTGTGATGACCCATAAGCCCTGGCATGGTATCAGCTACACCAGAAGTGAAAGAATTTGTGTGATTACTGATCCTGACCTGTGAGTTCTCCTATTTTTCCTTCACCCCTGCATCCACAAATAACTGTCACCAGGCAAGCAGAAAACAAATTTTGCAGGGAAGTTTTTCTGTTGCTCTCCTAAACTACTTTTTACAAAAATGTTTATACCTTGTCTTTTACAGCATTCCTTTTAATCTTTGTTTTTATTTACAATTTAAAGGCATATCAGGTATCAAATTTGCCTGTGGAATGCAATTGAAAAATCTACTGGTAAAGTTCAACTTAATAAAACTTGTGGACTTAGATTTACATTAGGTTTAGCATTTACATGCTTTGGGTTGCATTTTAGCCCTGCTAAAGTATTAAGGGCATGTGACAGTTCCCTCAGGTTGTCTTGGGCTGTTTTTCTTATGCCATACATGCTGTGCAAAGGAACACATGTTCATTGTTAAGGACAGGTCATATAGCTGTTGTCTCTTTTAGAGACTCTACATCTAAAATAATACTGGACAAAACAATCTTTCTGAAGAAATAGATGCTAAATTTAAATTTGATGGAAACTGACTTTTGTAGCCTGATTCCTGTAGCACAAAATATGCTATACTTCAGATCAAGATTGTCCACACTATTTTCAATTAAACTGCCTTCAGGGTAATGTTTTCTTGCTATTTAGTATGTTCACCATGTTTTCAGCTTACCAGTGTAGTTTCAGCTTTATTCATTAAGGGTAGTAGTATGATTATCTCTACCATCATATCTACTAATTGTGGTTACTGAACAACTTTTTAATAGTTGAGTGTAAATCTTGCTCTTTGATTAAAAATTCCATCCTGAGTGCTGTGTGGCTTTTTGATATTTTTGCCTGTACCGCATAGCGCAAAGCTGCGAGCAAGCTTAGTGCTCTCCTTGAATTCCTTCTAGGTGTCCCATTCATTAACAAGGCCAAATACTTCACTGTCACAAAATGCAGGTTTTGTTCAATTATTAATTCAACTATGTTTTAAAAGCTAAGTGTTTTTTTTGCAGACAGCTTTAGGCTTTCTTGCTGCATGGCATTAGTCTGTGCTGAGGAGTGTTACCAAGCCTTAATGTTCTTACTACTCTATATGCTACACTCTTGAAATGTTACAGTTCTGAGAGAATGGTTGATAGTTTTGTTTACATATAGAGAACAAGGTGGTGTTAAGCTCACTTTTTAATTTTTTTTTTTTTCTTGAGGGAAGGAGGGCATTCAGGGTGGAAAGTAAACCATGGTCTAATTGGCTAGGAATGTATCTTTTATACCTCTGAAGGTGTGGGGATTTGTTTGTTGGTTTTGTTTGGTTTTTTGCTCTCAAGTGCCTTGTTAAATATGATCATAAAATTGTTATGCCATAAATACACTTCATAGCTTTGGCTGTAAGGAACTTTGGTTTCTATTTCACCATGTTGCATGAATTTCAGTAATAGAATCGGTTGCAGCATGATTCTCCATCCAATGTATTGTACAGAGAATTATTATTTACACAAGGTTTTTTTTTAAGTCTACATAGAATGTGGAGGTGGCGATAGGTTGACCAAAAAAATAACAGTAACAGCTAATTGCTTGGGCATTAACTGCTGCTTTTGGTGTACCACATACGAACTTCTTGGAGAAAAAGATTAAGGTGTCCCTGTCATAGTATTCAACAGCACGATATATGAACATATCTGTACATATCTGTTTAGAGATACCTATTGATACATTTTTTTATATGTGGAGCTGTGGATCTTTATTTTTATTTGCTCTAGCAAAATGTATCTTTCATTGTGTTAGTTTTCTTTTTGTTTTATAAAAACAGCTTGCAATTTTATTTTAAACTTTCATGTTTTATTTAAAAATAATGAAATGTCCTAATAAATTAAAATACAGTTATACGACAGTCTACATACGTATTGGCAACTTTAGTATTGAGGAATATGCTTCTAAATTTCAGGTAGCGTTAATTCTGATGCTTTTAAAAAAAGGGATAGTTACCTCTGATGCAAATAACGCTTGATAAATTTATAATATGGTGTGTTTATGTGGTAGTGTTTTTCTGTTGTAGCGCTGCATAAAGCATGTGAAAATTCATCTGTTAAGGACAGATGTCATGCTAATTCTTTCTGAAATTAACCTCAAGTTCAGGGGCTTATTTGAACCTTGCAGACCTCTCCTAAGGATCAAATAGTAGTCCCCATCACAACAGGAATGGAGATTGTCCGCAAGTTTAAAATGACCATATTGCCTCCTTCCTCCTGTGATCAGCAGCTCTGTTCTGCAGTAACTTGGGAGGTTTGTCTTGAAAATGGATGCTTGTATTTGGGAGGCTAGGACCTTGTTGAGACAGTAGAGGCTAGCCAGTTTTGGAAATTCCAAATAAAAGCAGTGGGGTCCTTCTGTGGCAACCACAAAACCAACCAACTGACAATAACAAAAAAAGTCAAAAGCCCCTGTGTTTCTTTTGCATCCTGTATATTTTAATTTTTTTTCTATCAGAAAAGAGCAAGAAAAAGCTTGGCCTTGAATTAATTGGGTGGCTAATTGTTATTCCTTTGAGGATTTCACAATTTAGATTTACCCAAGGATTGTTTGTATTACTTTTTATACTCAGCTCAGACACTTTGGCCAAAGAATCGATCCTTAGAAATTCTGATCTCATCTATTAAGCGTGGATGACTGGATACTGCCTCACCCCACCCAC